ACGTAGTTCATCCAGAGATCGCGGCAAAGGATGAAGGGTAGGTAAGGGCTTCCTGGTAAAAATCGGACAAGGGCTCACCCTGGCTTGTCGATCAGGCGACGTCTTCCGCACGAGATATTCTATCACCTCAACGTTTCCGGCACAGACGGCCCACATTAGACACGAACGATTCTCTCGGTCCTTTATTTCCTGAATTAACAAAAATCAATCTTAATTTTTCTTCCTTACCTTCAAGGGCCTGAACGTTCGGTCACGCACGTTATTGTATAGAGTGAGATACCATAACTCGCTAAGAGTAAAGATATACAGATTTATTTCCATTGTAGTGACAATGAGAAGCCTACCACATAGTTGTTTTTGGCCAGAATGATGTCCAGACAGCTCACACTAAATTGTGCCGCGTAATGTGCTGGGCTGGCATCCCATTTATCACTGTAAATGAATATTATCCATGAATTATCACAACAGAAGCCACTCCCTACACAATACACCAATGCATGAAGAATCTACCGTGGTGGTGAGAGAAGACTGGATATTCTTTCAGAAAGTCGTTCCCAAACCTCATGATCACCGTTAAGGCTAATCTAAGATGTTACTGAACGCACAAGCAGGGCAAATCTAGTGTCACAGAAAGCAATTTGCCCATACCCAATCCCCTCCCTTACTTGAGCACTTCCCTGGCAGCCTAGAAGTTCCATGGAGCTGTGACGCAGGGAAGGAGGAAACAGGGAGGAGGTGCACAGATGTGGTTCAATCCCAAACTGCTTGCAAATCCACGTCTACCAAATCAGACCGTACACAACCGTCAACAATCCGCACCTTCACAACTGACCAAATACGTCCCTGACTACGAGCCGCAAGGTGTTTGGCCATCACAGACAATTTCTCAGCTGCTGGACAAGAAGGTAGGACATAATGAAGGGTTTTAACCAGTTAATCTCCCATATATAGCCTTTTAGTTAACCCATACACGTTGTCCCGTCACCAGGCTAGTGGAAATGGTGAACAGTTAGCAATCTATGCAAGAGTGGCATATATGATCCTTTGCTTGAGCTTACCTAGTGGTACTCCTGGCTCCGCACGCAAGCAATAACTGTACTATCTCGTAGTGCCCTTGCTCGGCCGCATAGTGAAGTGGGGTACGATTTTCGTTATCGAACACCTGAATAGAGATCCAAAATCAATGGTGCCATGCTCGGGTCTGAGATTTCGCTTTCATAGGAATAATTATAAAAGGAAAGTAAAGTTATGCAAGGGACTCTTACATCTAAATGGGCTGCTCACCTCCACATTCTTACCCATCTCCTCAGCGAATAATTTGAGTACTTGCAGATTATTAGCAATGGCTGCTAAGTGAATTGCTGACAGTCCATCTCGATTTCGTGTTGTGATGGACATCTCCTTTCGCCGGGCCAAAAGACGGCACACGTCCACACCTCAACAATGAATACCTTCTGGGTCAGTGAGGCTTTTTACTACTTCTGAGTCATGTGTTCCCACTTAATCCAGAAAGCAGATATCCGAGAATCATATAATGAGACGACCCTTGTTAGACTCCCTCCTCCCCCTTCCTCCCTTTATGCATTTTGAAAAAAGGCCAACCTTGAGCGGAGGGAACTCCAACAGCGCACATCAGTGGTGTCAGACCACATGAATCCCTCGCATCGACAGGTAGGCCCAATGCTGGCGAATCTGAAAAAAAGGAAGACTTCCACTCGTTCCGTCATGGAAAGGAAACACAGAAATTGAAACCTACAAATGCTATCCAGCCACTGACCATGTTAGCTTCATTCAGAAAGCAAGAGCTATCGAAAGTAATCCGAAAAGAGCTCACCCAAAATCAATCTGACACTTTCCACGCTGGCCTTAGAGGCAGCATAATGTAGTGGACCACGCCCTCGTTTGTCTTGTGCCAACCCGAACACATCGTCGGTAGCGCTAACTGCATCAATAAACAACTGAAAATAAGGTAGTACCATCTTCGTTACACTTGAAGCGTGGACTTTTTGGATGGCTCAAAAAATAGCTTCGTCTCCCCACTGCAGAGGAAACGGGTGAACAGAAAATGTCGACTTTCCCAATCACGAAAAACTAGAGGAAAATACATCTGTCAGTTTGATAATCGCCATTCTTGGTGGGTGGAGTTGGCAGTGTCTGACTAACTTACTGGCTGTTCAAAAAGTTTGGAAACTGTGGTACCACTGACCATAGTATACTATTCCCTAAGGTGGTCTTAGGTCAAGGAGGAAGGGGTGAAAAAGATAAAAACGAAAGGGGTGAAGAAAAAACAGATAGAAACGTTTACTGCCTATTTGAAGGGGAAGCCACTACTCGTAGAAGACAAACCTGGAGTATTTTGCCATTCCCACATGCTGCTATGTGAATTGGTGTGACACCATCCTTATCAGCCACAAGAAACGGTGACAAACCTTGTGGTGATTTACCGGCTTGCAGAATGAATCGCACGACCTAAACCAGTGAAATAGAAACAAAAATCAGATTCAGGATATACCTGCGAAGTTGAGACCAACCTTTGCTGAACCACACTGAGCAGCCCAATGAAGTGGCGTCGCACCGCCGTTGTCAGTGTCCCAAAGTGAAAGGCCTTTTCTAAAAGAATAACCCACAGTAAACAATAACAAATAACAAAATAAAGAAAAACGACGAATTAGTGGCGGTTTGTTGTGGTTTAATGACATCAACAGAGGTATCCAAGTGGCTTCTGATTGGGAAGCTACTTTCAGTCGATCCAGTCATCCCTACACGTACACACACCCGAGTGCTTACTATACTCTCGAGCCGTACCGTACCTCATCAGAAACTGTAGATTCCGGACATTATCAGCTATCGCAGCATGCATGGCTGCTGTTCTTCCACGATTGTCACGATGGGTGATCCATTCTCGATGCCGTTTCACCAATCTCTCAATATCGGCCTTAAACAAAAGTTTGACATTACAACTCAGACTGGGAGCTCCTGTCGAGTGTAGATGCGGTTAAAATGCCAATAAATGGTCATAAATAATTCGGGTAACAAATATTATAATAAGCATGAACAAATAATTCAAAAACAATTTCGTAAAGAGCGCATCATAGAATGAACTAGCTGTGCCTACCTGACTTCCTTCTGCAGCATAGTAGAGTATGTCACCGGGAGAATCGGAATCGCCCATGTGATTCCAGGAAGGAGTTTGGATCCCTTCAAATCACTGAAAAAAAACTCGAATTGACTCTTTCCGAAATTGCCAGAGAAATATTGACCCGAGTGTTACTAATTAAACACAAACTTGGAGGGCTCAGTAGGGGTACGGTACTTCATTTCCCTATCGTCATGAAAATGATGATTGTATTGAAGGTGTAGGTAGGTTAAGACCACAGGCACCAGAAATAATACCTTATAATCAAAAATTTCGAAAACTCGGACTTGATCCTGTCTGCCTCTCCCGAAAGCAAACTTGCCAGGACCCTCTGGGGACCATATAAGTAATTGATTTATCAAAACTTTTTGTATAGGCCATAACTGTCTTTGAATTCCACTTTTATTATTCTCCCACTTCAATTTTGTACTGCTTTGGCTTAGGTAGCGGTATGGACACCACCTACACTTGCAGTTGATCGTATGGTATGTATAATAGTAATCTAGTGTGTCCTGAAGTAGTGAACCGATGGGCCGAAAGTTTAAAAAAAGGAGTAATTGAGAGAAAAGGATTGAATGAAGACATTGGAAGCAGATAGCGATGCCAATCGATTGCGCAACGACGACGATCAAAAGCGAGTTTTGTCCCCGATCTTGATTGTGTTGATGAACGTAGTGAACACTGATCATAGTTCATTTTGCTCATAATTCTAAACCTTCAGTGAGAACTGGATTGAAAAGGAAAATGCAATTCCAATGATGGAATGAAAGATATAGCGCCTGACTTTGGTCGATTACTTTCGAGAATGCGCCACGTATTTGAGCCACCTAAAAAATGACGACTCTTTAAAAGCATCCTCCATACACAATGACTTGGCGCTAACCTAGATGCAAGCTAGTCCTCTTATCCTTACAGGCGAGACTGATGGAGACCGTCTAGAACTATTCCCCGACCCACTCACAGTGCAAAGCCTTTCCTAGTCTCGTTGGGTGCATGATTTAGTTGATTCCTTTGGTTAGTTTCCCCATAATACTAGCTAGGTTGGAACTTCTCAGAGCGGTGCAGCATGCCAAGCGAATGAAAGAAGAACACGGAAGCAGACTGCGATGCTATTCAGTACGGGAACGACCACAATAGAACCGGGTTCAGGGTTGCCTGTGCTGACAGACGCATTGATGCTCAGATGGCCTCTACACCTCTGAGTAGGTTTTCGCTATTCTCAATTCTCCGCGGGAATGAAATCGTTCGCTTTACATATGGACTGGACTGTTCAAGCCATGTATGGGCCACAGACGCACTCGAAAGGCCGTTGCAATACTGAATGGAAGCCGAGAGCGGGGCGCACTCCATAAAGGGAACGATCAAGCTGAAGATTCAATCTCTTCCCTCCATGCAGTCATCGATAACCAAAATTGTCTGCAGCGAGGACTTGAAAAAAAAATCCTCGATGCTTCCTCTGGAAGTCTCTAGATTTTCAGGCATAATAAGATTATCTACTAGATAGATTGCAGCTCCCAAACTATTTATTTGTTTTGCAATTGTTCCATCACGAACATAACAACAAATCTGTTTATTCTAGCAACAACTAAACTTCAAGCTTTAAATGTTTAACAAACAATCTCAAATTCCGTAAGACACACATGGATGAGAACGATAATGGAAGTGAAAATGCAAGGATATACAATCGAATGTAACAATAACATAACATAATTTTGTTTATGTACATTTATTACAAAGTTTGAGTGAAATGCCAGTAAAAAGGCTGTAGTGGGCTGAAAAAGTACTGACATTCATGTAATGTAAGTCAACAAAGCAGGGGATACCTTAGGCACAAAGTCTATTTTCGTGTTATCATATAACACCCGTCAACAGAAGATATGGCACTAAAAAGGCTCAGGAACAAATGTGTAGCGGTAAAGAATAAGATTCTACCATATTCTAAAAGGCAGCAGACATTTCGAGCCGGTAGGTGAAGCCTCAGCCTTCACGCATACCCCATTGGTGTGTCCCGCCCCTTCAACAAGTGGCGCACCAATGGGCAACGCGTAATGGCCCCGACTCCGTCCCCGGCTCGTTGTCTCCGTTTCTCAGGTGGAGATGGTAATTACAAAAAGAAATAAAAATAAGAGAAAAAGGGCACAAGAATAAGGCACAGTGATTCTTGACCAAATAAGTACTCATGAATGTTTAAAGCTCTATTTGAAGTGAGATGATGGCAAATCTGTTTATACTCNTCAATCAGTCCTAATCTTTTCTCCTTTGTTCTTGAGAACCTGGAAGCCTGGTCATACAGGTCATTCTAGAAGACTGCGCATTTATTGTCTAGAGTTAGGTGCCACAACCCGCTAGGAATAAAAATATATAAGTTTATTTTTTTATTGCAGTAACAGCAGGAGCCTACCACATAGTTGTTTTTGGCCAGAATGATGTCC